TGATAGTGCCCTGGACTATTAGACCCCAAAAACAGATCACATCTACTGATGGACTGTGTCAGTCAAATATCCCCTAAGATACAGGAAGCAGCAAACATAATGTTATGTTGCCAGCAGATGGAGGGCTATCTCCCCCATCTTAGCATCTTCACTAGAGATTTGAGGTGTTTCCCACACGCTATATTTGAACTTTTAGAGATGAGATGCGTTGAACATTTCAGCACACCTTGAGTTTGAATCAAATCTCTTTAAAAGCTCTACAGATTGTACAGAACTCAGTGACTGGTTGGTTTTTTTTAGGGTAAATAAAACGCCGGAACGCCGACACCTCCTCATCTCCACCGCTCCCATGTTTTATTTTGTGTTGCCATAAGTTAGTCTCTCTGCGTTTCTGCGCTGGGCTAATGCTAATAATGCTAATGCGAGGATAATAAAATGGCGGCTTCACAAAACTTTTTGCGAGTTTTACGGGGCGTGGTTTGCAATCCGCCCAGCCAATCAGAAATATAGCTCTTTTCTCACAAGAGACCCGTACGAAAGTCCCTGCTCTCTAGCAGCTCTCTGCTCTCTAGCAGGGACTTTCGTGGGGGTAAAAAGGTTCTCATGAACTAATTTTAGTACCGGCTCTTTTTGGTGTGAACGCGATAAAAGAGGCTAACGTCCACGCTAGCTTCCACGCTAGCTGCTATATGTTTTGCATTGAGGTGATACTTGAGGCTTGATGTGCTGCGGTGATATGCGAATTCATTTTTGCATAATTTGCACACAACCGTGCTCTTATCGACGCTTCCATCCGTCCGTTTTTTAAAACAACATTTCCCACTGTTGTTCACTGTGGTTTGTTGTTGTCTGAAGTCATGAACGTTAGTTGGTGCTCCAGTATAATCGGTACGCCTGAAACTCATCCAGTGAGAAACGTTCCGCGGTGCAAAAATAAGTGCGATTAAAATGCGTTAATTTGTTTAACGCGTTAATTTTTGTGTAATTAATTAATCTTAATTAACGCGTTAAAGTCCCGGCCCTAGTTTTTTTATATCAAGTTTTGTGACTGACATACTGCACTATAGACTCTCTGATTAAAAGTGATCAAAGAAGTTTGCAAACGGTAGAGAACTATTAGCCCAACTAGCCCAACATTTTATATTTCATCAAATAGATCAAACTTTGCAGTAGACCAAAATCCTCAGTATACACAAGGGTTATCAGGTGCTTCCTTCAAAGGTCCTACCTGACACTGTACCAATTCATGCCTGTGCTCATTAGGTCATACCCAGCATCCAAATGTTCAGTGCTCTTGACCCTCACCATTGGTGTTGGCAGCTTTATTTTTGGGCCTTTATCCATCCATCCCATTCTTGTGAAAGCGATATCTCAGGAGCGCCTAGAGGGAATGTTGTGACTTGAACATCTAGTTTTGTGTGACAATGGAAGCGCAGTAATAGAAGTAGAAATGATGCTTTCTTTAAGCTTCCCATCCTCACAGGGCCATCTCCCCATACACTGCATTTAGCAACACACTGATGAAATATAAGTGTGCGGTACAAATATTTCTAAGAAATGTGTATGGTACGGTATATAAATGCATTATACAAGCACATATACTCACGGTCAAGAAATAGTTCTAATGCGAGTACACAGTATGACATACTGTATGTGACGCTGAACACCATGCTTAATACACGAACATCATACATTATGTTTTACTAGTACATAATATACAGTTTATATAGCATATACTATTGTTTCTATAGTCTGCCTCTTTGTGTCTGTGTTGTTGAAAACTCTAACTTTCCTTAGTGTGACCTGGAAGCTGTCATCTCTGACACTTTAGATAGTGGGAAGATCATCAGTAAGCATGCTAGCTTTAAGGATGTTCAATCAGAAAACCTTAGCACTGTTGTTGCCTAAAATCAAAGCTTCTTCTGGAATGCGGACATGGGGCACAGAGAGGACTGGAAGTTAATTGTAGTTAGCAACTGTTTACAGATGATAAGTCATATCTATGATTGATTTAGAAATGTAAGAGCTGAGTGCTGTGATTGAGGGAAGGTGATCAAATATCCCTAGAGTTTTTATTTATATTGTTTCTATTGTTTTCCCAAACATTAAGCTCTACAGGTGCTTCACAATACATTTGAATATCGTGGAAATCATTTCAATTTAAAAGGTGAAACTCATATATGAAATAGATGAATTACACACAAAGTTAATTATTTCAAGCGTTTATTTGTTTTAATCTTGATGATTACGGCTCACAGCTAATGAAAACCCAAAATGCAGTATCTCAGAAAATCAGAATATTACATAAGACCAATACAAAAACAGATTTCTAATACAGAAATGTCGACCCTCTGAAAAGTATGTTCATGTGTATACACTCAGTACTTGGTTTGGCCTCCTTTAGCATGTTAGCCTTCAGCTCGTCTGCGTAGTTGGGTCTCGTGTCTCTCATCTTCCTCTTGACAAAACCCCATAAAGGTTTAGCTCAGGCCAGTTTGCTGGCCAATCAAGCACAGTTATTCCATGGTGACTAAACCAGGCATTAGTACTTTTGGCAGTGTGGGCAGGTGCCTAGTCCTGCTGGAAAATGAAATCAGCATCTCCATAAAGCTTTTCAGAGGATTTCTAAAATGTCCTGGTAGAAGGCTGCGTTGACTTTGGACTTGATAAAACACAGTGGACCAACAGCATCAGCATGTCTCCCCAAATCATCACTGACTGTGGAGACCTTGAGCAACTTGGATTCTGTGCCTCAGTCTAAACACTTCCTCCAGACTCTGGGACCTTGATTTCCAAATGAAATGCAAAATGTACTTGAATCTGAAAGGAGGACTTTGGAACACTGAGCAAGTTCTTTTTCTCCTTAGCCCAGGTAAGACGCTTCTGATGTTCTCTGGTTCAGGAGTGACTTGACACGAGTAATTCGACAGTTGTAGCCCATGTCCTGGATACGATAATCTTCCTTCCTCTGAAAAGCTTTATGGAGATGCTGATTTCATTTTCCAGCAGGACTAGGCACCTGCCCACACTGCCAAAAGTACTAATGCCTGGTTTAGTCACCATGGAATAACTGTGCTTGATTGGCCAGCAAACTGGCCTGAGCTAAACCTTTATGGGGTTTTGTCAAGAGGAAGTTGAGAGACACGAGACCCAACTACGCAGACGTGCACCATAGAGAGCATCCTGAGTGGATGCATCACGGCCTGGTACGGCAGCTGCACCGCCCTCAATCGTAAGGCTTTACAGAGGGTGGTGAAAACTGCACAGCAGACCACTCCACACCATGGAGGATCTTTACTCCCAGCAGCTCAGGAAGAAAGCCCTCAGGATGATCAAAGACCCCCATCACCCCAGCAACAAACTGTTCTGTCTGCTGCCGTCTGGCAGGCGGTACCGCAGCATGAGGTCTAAAACCACCAGACTCAGGGACAGTTTCATCCCACAGGCCATAAGACTGTTAAACACCTGGGTTGCGTTCTGATAATCCAAAAATCAGCTCCTAAGTTCTAACCCTATCTCCTATTCCTTGACCTCTGAGTGAAACGTCACGGGGTTAAGGGATAGTGGATAGGAGAATTCAAAAGGACTTAGGAGAAGAGACCGCGGTACTTTAGAGAATCCGACTGCACTTTCACTATCTGACGTGTTTATGATGTGCCAGCGGACGTCCTGAATGTGCGTCTGCTGCTGTGGGGAAACTATGGAAACTACAGTTTTCTATACAGCGGACTACAACTTGGATGTTCAATAAGAACGAGGGACTACTGTAAACTCATCTAGAGACTCTGCACCGTGTTCTGATGCTGTTGCTTTATGCTTTATGAACGTGGACAACAGAGAAACATATTCTTCATGACCAAAGTTGGAATTGAAATAAAAAAGGAAAGTGAAACTTATGCTCGTCACCCTCTCCCTCCGGTCCACATTAATACAAATGATCCCAATACGTATGATTGATGGAAAGATCTTAAATCAATACAGATGTATTTATTATAAACGTTAGTCCTTAACATCTATCACTGTGTATATCACCATTCAAACATCTTTTAAAAGTTGAACAAACTCCACACAGCTCAGTAAAGACTGTGAGATGTTGACTTTATTTGATCATTTCAGTAAAAACTAACGTTCATATTTCTCTTTTTGATTATAATACTGATGAACGTTCAAAACAAAGCACTTTGGCAACTTACCACATACGTTTTAAAAAGCTTAATAAGCACCGTAACTTTCATGATATCATTTCTCCGTCATAATCGGTTGTTTCCGTGAACGGCCGACTGTTGAGTGATGGAAAATGTTGCGACTGCAATGCATTGTGGGGCAGCATTTTCTCCTCTCCTTTCGGGTAGGGAGGTCCAGTGGTTCCTAAACTAAAGGAGGTTATAAAGGAAGTTTGAAACCTCCTTTCCTTTCATTTAGAGCAGGGGTCAGCAACCTTTTTGATATGTGACATTTATTAAAAAAAATGTGATGCCAAATCCACATTAAGATCACTATGACTCGCGCATGCATGCACGTGCACGGTGTGGCATGACCACCCAAACAGAAAGATATGGACACAAGATGTGTGCAAATGTATTTAGTTTCCTATCCATGTGAACATGATTTAAGTGGGGGGGACCTAACCTCCTGTAGGGGGGTCCGGGGGCATCATTACACAGAACCTTTATCTCTGGACAAATATCCATCATGAAGTCTGAAGCAAGCATGGTATCCCATATAAGTGACGGTGGTACAGGGGCAAATAAGCATCTACCAATCAGAGGGAGTGCAGTTCAATCCAACTCCGTTAGACAAGTCTATGGTGTTGAAGTGCATTTGTCCTTACTTGCCATTCTAAGCAGTCTCTCGTGTGGCTCACGTCATGATGAATAATTGTATATTCAGGAGTTGGGGTGTTTAGAATCTGTACCAGTCAATCTGGTATGAGTGCCAGTTAGAGTTGGCCATTTGTGCTCATTAACCCTAACGTAGCCTGTTCCTGTGTGTTGTGGCAGCAGCATCATGTCAGTGAACCCTCCGAGCAGCAATGACGCCTGCCTCAGCATCGTGCACAGCCTCATGTGCCACAGGCAGGGCGGGGAGAACGAGGGCTTCGCCAAGCGGGCCATCGAGAGCCTGGTGAAGAAGCTGAAGGAGAAGAAGGACGAGCTGGACTCGCTCATCACCGCCATCACAACCAACGGCGTACATCCCAGCAAGTGTGTGACCATCCAGAGGACGCTGGATGGACGGCTGCAGGTAGGTGCTCCTCTAACACACAGCAGCAACAATTACATATCACTGTTGTTATCATTTATTCTAGGTTTCTTCCTTTTGCGAATACAATTATCATTTTCTTAAATTAGGATTTTCACAGTTAATTTGCATTGTCATTTTCCATTCAAATCGTATTCAATGTTAGAGCTATACGGGTTGCCTGTGCAAGTCTTGTTAGTTGTAATGGCAAACATTTTGGCACTTAAAAGTACATATTGTTTTGGGTTTGTGATATTCTTGGTAGTCATTTATTGTATTTTTCATGTTTTAAAGGGGCCCTATTATTCTTTGGGGGGTCTCTTGTAGTGTGAGCTATAGGGTTTTGTGCATGTTGTTATGTCTGCAAAGGCAAAGATGGCCTGAAATGCCTCCATTGGACTCCTTTGTTTACTTCCATAACATAGAGACATCACTACGGAACAGAGCCGGCCAGCTAACCAATCAGAGAGACTGGGCTCTGGTTTCAGACAGAGGGTAAAAAGAGGTGCTGCAGAACTGGCAGTATGAGAGAAATAAAGAGCTTTTTGAACGTTAAAGCACGGAATGATGTGATAGTAGAGTACTAATATGAATCAGAGAATTAGCATTAAAGGGCCCCTTTAATAGGATTATGTTTATCATTTCTGAATGGCAGGCTTTTTTCAATTGAAGATATAACGTTACTGTATTTCTGGTGAGCATGATGGAGGCTAACATGATGCTGTGATCTCTACTCAGGTGGCGGGGAGGAAAGGTTTTCCTCACGTCATTTATGCACGGTTGTGGCGCTGGCCCGACCTCCACAAAAATGAACTCAAGCATGTCAAGTTCTGCCAGTATGCCTTTGACCTGAAGTACGACAACGTCTGCGTCAACCCCTACCACTACGAGAGGGTGGTGTCGCCTGGCATCGGTACGTCAGCTTCATACTACTACTCAGGTTCTGCTCTCTGATTTAGCACTAGCAAAAATGTATTATTCTCACCCCGACTTTTTGTTGTTTCTGATGCATGATAGTGACGTTTTGATCTCACGTATTTCTGTCTTCTCTCACAGTTGGTCTCAGCCTTCAAAACACAGGTGAGTCTCATACCACTGCACCACATCATGATTACTGCAAACTACCATGTCTTGTTTCAAACTGTACCTGCCTGTACAACGATTAGGCCAAGGATTGTTTTAAAGGATCAGTGTGTAATGTGAAATGGAATATAGGAAATTATAAAAATTGAGGATTACAATGAATTCCTCTTTGATGGTCTCACACATGCACATTGCACACACAGTGAAATCTGCATTTAACCCATCCTAGTATAAGGAGCCGTGGTCAGCTACTATACAGCGCCTTGGAAGCAGTGTGAAGAGACCTGGTGCCATGCTCCAGGGCAGTAGTCAGGAGATGAACTGGCACCTCTCAAAGTACAAGTCTACTCTCCATGCTTGGTCCTTCCAGCAACTCTTCGCTTCACAAGCCCAGTCCCTACAGACTTTAGCTACATTCGCTCCAAAGTAATGAATGTTATATTCAGAATTATGTTTCATTAGTCAATAATCACCTGAAAGTAGGAGTTGTGTTTTTCTCAACTCTACAGAAGGAGCCACGTGAAACGGCAGTAACAACGTTGTTTGAACTGCAAAGCTAGATGCCGCCAAATCTTGCACACTGTCACTTATAGTCAACACTTTGAATGCAGTCATAGCATTTGTTACAGCTACTGTTTTTTATGCTTTCATTGCTTTAACATTTTCAAAGTAAAGGAGCAAGTAGCAAGGTTGTCATATATATGTATATACACAGTACATGTGTACATTTTACTCCTCTAAATGTATTTGAAAGTTTTAGTTAATTTACAGAATCAGATTATTAGCTATTAAAAAATACATTTCAATTCATAAATAAACATTGACATATAATTATAGGTTAGCTTATCCAGCATCAGTATACAACCTTATTCAAATCAGCTCCAGTTTTAGCAGCAGTGGTACACACATTAATGTATCAATATTCATAATCCAATAATACAAATGTATTATTCCAAAATAGGCCATGATGCATACTCTTACTTTTGGTACTTTAATAACAAATGTTTTATTCATATTTAGAATTTTACTTAAGAAATACTTTTAGCTTAAGTAATACTAAACTAGAATGACTAAATGCTAAAGCCTTTTTCTCTCATGCACTGTCATGAATGTGATGGCCTTGTGTGAATAAGCTATCAAGTCAAGTATGAACTGAATGCTGTCATAACATAAAGACTACAATAGTGCTGGGTTAAATGGTATGATCCTTTAGAAGCTTTCCTCTCTGTGTGTGACCTGGGGCCTCATTTATAAAGGGATATACGCTCAAAAAATGGCGTACGCCAGTTTCTACGCAATGTTTGCGATTTATAAAATACTAACTTGACGGGAAAACGTGCGGTCCTCCACGCAAACTCTAACCCATGCGTACGCACTAAGCACAAACAACGGGAGAGACGAGAAACTGCGACACCGTTGGCAGAAGAAAGAATGGAGAGAAATATGTGGAAATAATACCATAAATAAAATGTTACCTCTCATTTATCATATATGAAGAATTCATTTTCAAACATTGATTAAAGCCAATCTTAAAAAGATTAAACAAACGCCTGTTTGAGACTCCTCAGTGCACACAAAAACATAACTTGGAGAAGTAAATAAATACGGAAATGTTATTTAAAACCACCTCGAATATGTTGTGTTAATGTCATGAAATGTTTTCTCATAAATGATGCGGTAAGCAGGAGGACAGAATTACGTCTAAACTGACGCCGTTTTTTATTTCTATAGGTTGTAGATACAAGCATGGTTTTATATACTATCACGTTTAATCGTGTTTTATGCCGTTTGCCAAGACTTGATAAGTCGCTCGTAAAACAAAGGGGGTATGGAAGCTAAGAACACCATATGTGGTCAATTGTACAGCTGATATAACACAACACATTAGTTGTATTTCCTTTAACTGGTGGATATAGAGTTGCTGCAGTGGAGACGCTGCGCACAGCTGATCGACAGCTGGGACACAAACCACCAAATACAAAAACATAATTCAGATCCAGTCGTCATGACTCCACTCCGGAGGGATTCCCCGATCATTTCTTAGTCTCTCATCAAGGGGGGGTCTCCTGTCCCCGGTACCAACACACTGCCTGAGGAAGGCTATGTGTGTTGTTTTTGTCATTAACCTTTTTCGGACCATTTATTTACTTATTTTGGTGACGATCCGACCTCCATGCTGCTACTCTGGTTCAAACTGCATCCACCAAACAATATGATTTATCTCCACCTCCCCAAAATAACCAAAATCTGACACGGTGTGAGATGTCTTTCTTAGCTGTTCTGTCGTCATTTCCTGCGATCTTCTTCATGCAGTCAGTCAGAATGAATGAATGGGCGTTTCTTTGACTATTTATAGGCAAATATGGGCGTTACGTGAAGCCCGCAAAAGCTGCACCGCATTTCGGGTCGTTTGTGATTTATAAAGGGAGCGCGGAAAATTGGTGAATCGGAAAATGTCGGAACATTTCTGTACCTATTTTTTGGATTTCTACTACGTAAGCAACCTTCCCACGTGAATCCTACGCACGGCGTTATACATGAGGCCTCAGAACAGGGCGAATGCCACACAATGCCACCAGATTTCAGATTGACATGGTTAGACCTACTTCTGATTATAGACTAACCAAACTGAGAGTGTTGCGTCTATGCTTTCATCATTGACCACACTGAACATGTTTTATTTAGTTCATTTGATTTATATATTATCTTAAGACTTTCACACAACATCTTATCATGTCAGTACACCATATCATGTTATCATTGATTATCATAAACAATGTTGGTTTGGCCCCTTCAGTCATTTCATGGTGAAAAAGGACATATATTGAGATATTGAGCACCAATGAAATCGTCTGATGACCTGATGTAGTTTATGTCCAACACACTGCTGTACAGCGTAGTGACTGTCCCTCATGCCCGACAGCAGCAGCCGGCGGCGGCCTGATCAAAGAGGAGTACATCCATGACTGCATACAGATGGACCTCCCGCCTGGCATGCCTCTGTCTGACCACCAAGCAGCCCTGAAGCTCCCTCCTGCAGACCTCTATGGGCATCCACAGCTCTCCTCTGAGCCCCATGGACCCCCACCCGTCACCAGATACAACCTGCCTGTCTCACCCAAAGGTCAGCTCCTCATTATCATAATTCTGTGTTTACTATCACATGGTTAACAAAGACTGGCAGAGCCTCCTCCCAGCATTTCATCTAAAAAATGCACCCACTATTTGTTATGTTTTTATAACAATCATATCTTGATATAATAGAAGAGAGCAGCGCTACGTCACTGCCTGGCAAATTGCTGGCCCCTTCCTCTTTCCGATGAAAACAAAGAATCTGTGCTTCGCGGAAATAATAGTTTTATCATCCTTAAAAGCTGCTGTGTGGTGTATTGAACATCAAACAAAGAAAATACCCACTTTTCAGATTTTCTTTACACACGTATTGGACTTATGGATGTTCACAAGAGAAACGGATCTGTACAATCTGTAAATGTTTTGGACCTTGCCACCTGAGGGTTGATGTGTGATGATGTGTAGCTGCTGCCAGCTGCGGGGGGCAGTCAGCCTGACTGTGTGTGCTCTGCTCTCCCTCAGTGTCCGGCTCCGGCTCCATGCTGCCTCTGCAGGGGGGCCACCCTGACGGACGGCTCCAAACGCCATCTCCACAGGCTCAGGGCATGACCCCGGCTCCACGACCTCTGACCCCGACCCAACCCACTCCTCAGCAACAGGCTGGCCAGCAACCCTCACAGCCCCCCCACCCACAGCAGCCCCCCCTACCTCCTTCTCACTCGCATGGACAGAACGGGTACAGCAGCAATAAACACTCTCAGAGCCAGGCGGCCTTCCACAGTGAGTCCACACACACACACACACACACACACACACACACACACACACACACACACACACACACACACACAACACACACACACACACACACACACAACACACACACACACACACACACACACACACACACCACACACACACACACACACACGCACACATGCACACACACACACACACACACACACACACACACACACACACACACGCATACACACGCATACACACACACCACACACACACACACACACACACACACACCATACACACACATACACACACACACGCACGCACACACACACACGCATACACACACACACACGCATACACACTCACACACACACACACACACACACACACACACACACACCCGCATACACACACACACACACAACATACACACACATACACACATACACACACATACACACATACACACACACACACACACTCACACACACACACACACACATACAACACACACACACACACACCTGCATACACACACACACACACACACACACGCATACACACACACACACACACACACACACACACACACACACACACACACACACACACACACATTGAAAGTACTTATTGCCTGAGATCTCATGATGTGGTTTTATTCAATGTGCCAAGTGCTAGGACTGTCTTAGGGAAGAAAGCTTTTAGTTGAGCAGCTCCACTAACTTGGAACAGTCTGCAAACATGTTTAAAACTGAGCACTTTGGTTCCCCTGCATCATTTTAAAACTCAGCTGGGTGACATGCTGTTTGATACTCATGGTACCTGTCTCTGTAAATAGAGTTTGTAAACTGTACCCTGTACATTATGTTGTATGTCATCCTTATTGTTGTTCTGTTGTTTTTATGTTACATGTGTAACTAATGTGCTGCAGGTCACCCTAGAAAAAGAGATCTTTTGATCTCAAGCGGCTTCACCTGGTTAAATAAAGGCTACAAACAAACAAAGCTGCTTCCTTTCTGATGTATTTTTAACTGAAGCCAAATCTACTTTCACAAAGGAAATATGTTGCCTTAACCACAATTCCTTATGGCAGCTAAATCTAAAGTGGTAGTCATGACATCCTATCACTATCCTGTTCAAATGTACACTTTTTGTTGTTTCTGAGTAGGTGTGATGTGTTTTGGACAGTGACGTTGTTCAGGATAGATGTATCACTGTGTTCATTTTGTGAATAAAGTTGCATGAAAATCACAAAACTAAAACATGTGTCCACCATGGTGTAGGAGCAGTATGATGTTTTTAGCACCAGGGTTGTTCTCATGAGTTCACCTTCACATGTTTCCTCGTCCTCATGATGTTTTTAATCAAACTGCAGGACAAGGGGCTTTTTTGACTGTACGCCCGCAGCCCTGACCATTTGTCTCTTCCTGTCATTCAGCAGTGTGGACCGGCAGCAGCACAGCCTCCTACACTCCTATAGGACCCCAGCAGAATGGGCAGGGTCACCAACAACCCCCCCTCCATCATGCCAACCACCACTGTAAGACATTGTGTCCTTCCAAACATGATGTTCACTGTCTTTCTGTGGCTTTCACACACAAAACTCCTCACACGCTCCTTTTCAGGTGCTGTATCATATGTGAAGTCTATTCTCTAAAGCAGGGGTGGGGAACCTTTTTCCTCTCAAGGGCCATTTACATTTTTTCAACATCCTCCGAGGGCCGTACAAATGATTGACCTCTGCTTAAAAATCACAGCCCATTCATTTCACCTTTCTTTCATGCTGTGCAAAGAAAAAGCAACCTCTTAATCCAGATATCTCACCATGATGATGCATGCACGTGCACGGTGTGGGATGACCACCAAACAGAAAGATATGGACACAAGATGTGTGCAAATGTACTTTGTTTCCTATCCATGTGAACATGATTTAAGTGGGGGGGGACCTAACCTCCTCTAGGGGGGCATGCTCCCCCGGGAAAAAAATTTCTTAAATATTGAAGTGAAAAGCATCAATCTGGTGCACTTTGAGAGCAACATTAGTAGTTATGGATACATCTCTCAACACCCATTTGAAACAGAACTGTAAGCAGATTTTCTTTTTCTTTATGGATATTTTACAAATCACTCTCCTTTCAAACTGTATTCTTTTTTATTAATAAGAACTTTTTTTTACTGTCATATAGTATTTTATACCTGTTTACTTTATTCTCTTGTTTTTTTATAACTATAATGATCATATCAAGATGTGCCTTTACCTCACTGGTTGTAGAAAAAGCTTCTTATATTCGTTAGCATAGCTAGCTAACCAGATGCTAATAACAAAGAAGTTATTGACTTTATGATCAGTGTGTCGGATGAACAGATAGCCACTGGGCTTACAACTAAAGACACAGCCACGCAAAAACTGCAGCATGTGTACGGCGCTGGGTACTGCCATTGTTGAAGTCCCAGAGCGGCGTTCTGGTGCTCTCCGTCAGAACTACGGTTAAACCGTACACCCCAGCGCGTGCACTACGCTCTGCATCAGCCAAACGACTCGCTGCACCCTCGCTGCGAGGGGGACCCAAGTTCCCATCGGCGAAAACACGTGGGTTTGCTATCCTGGCTCCAAGATGGTGGAATGAGCTCCCCATTGACATCAGGACGGCAGATAGCTTGCACATCTTCCGGCGCAAACTGAAAACTCATCTCTTTCGACTCCACTTCGAGCGATAGAACTATTAACGAAGCACTTTTATACTAACAAAGGACTGGCTTACCTAAAGCCAATTGAGTAGCACTTGAAATGTTTGGCTCTATGAAACCTGATGTACTTATATGATTTTCTTCAAGGTTGTGTCTTCCTGGTCGAATGTACTTATTGTAAGTCGCTTTGGATAAAAGCGTCAGCTAAATGCAATGTAATGTAATGTAACTACACCCCTGTCAGACGAGACATATACCACGTGATGACACGTTAGGCTCGTGTTGTGTTCAAGGACCATGATCGTTGTCAGGAAAAACAGGCACTCGCTTGTTTAATTATTTTGCAGTCTAGATTTCTTTAATTTTTTTCTTTTTTGCGTGTGTTTATAAATTACCTCGAGGGCCATACCAAATGCTCTCGCGGGCCGTATACGGCCCGGGGGCCGGAGGTTCCCCACCCCTGATCTATAGCAAACTGATCTCCCCATGGTGATTTATCTGATCTGATTGATTTAAGTCTTTGCTTCCTCTCCGTTCATGTCCCTTAGCCTTTTTCTAATTTTAGCCGTCTTTTGTGGTTTTACTTTTATTGAAGTACATTGTAGGAAATTAGCTATAGGCCTATGAGTAAAGTGTATTATTAATATTGTAGAATTAGAGAATTACATTTATTTCAAAGTTAATCTATGAAGTGCTAATGTGGTGCAACAAGGTTGTAATGCAAATATAGTCCCTGTATAACTCCTAAAGTATCCTGTATGCCTGTGAGACATACATGCTCACTCCCGCACTATTCACAAGTATCCACTTCAAGTTTAACGTGTATGTACAGCTTTGTTTTATTTTACTTCACACCAATGTTCTTATCCTTCTGCTTTCAGGGTCCCAGCATCATGGCACCACCTCTTTCCCTCCATCTGTGTCCAACCACCCAGGTTAGAGATGATCACTGTTATCTGTCAATGCTAGGCTCATATACACAACTGTCGACCATGGAAAAGCTGATGCACTCTAGGTTGTAAGGTTTTAAGAGGATGTATAATCTTTATTTGTACATTTATGCGAGTATCTGCTATGATTCATATGTCTGCTGCAGAATGCGTAACATCTGGGCTCAAAGCTGTCAGGACCCTGACTCCCTGTGTGCCCTGTTTGATTGCAGGACCAGAGTTTTGGTGCTCCATCTCCTACTTTGAAATGGACGTTCAGGTGGGGGAGATGTTCAAGGTGCCCTCCAGCTGCCCGGTGGTCACCGTGGACGGTTACGTCGACCCGTCAGGAGGAGACCGCTTCTGCCTCGGCCAGCTGAGCAACGTCCACCGCACAGACGCAAGTGAAAGAGCCAGGTGTGTACATTACAATACATTCATCTGAGTGCGATGAGCAACTAGAGCAGTGCTTCTCCCGTGAGCGCCCCCTAGTGGTCCGTGAGTATATTGGTAAAATTTCACATTTGAAAGAAATACATTTATTTAAGTTTTTCCCACTCTCACGGGAATATCTCCGCAATTGAACGAGCTTAAGTTTCACTTTCGATTGCATGAAATATCCCAGATAAACACCTTCATCACACATGTTGCCACTTGTTTGTACCATTTTCAGGCGATTTGTAAAAAATGATGTGTTTTTGGATATTTGTGGAGTTAGGTGGTCCGCGAGTGTTTTTTTATTGGTTAGGTGGTCCTTGGTATGAAAAAGTTTGAGAAACACTGCACTAGAGGTATCAATCTCCTCCTCTACTAACCTATGATAGCACACTGATAGCTGTGTAGGCCTAACAAGTTATGCATTTATCATACTAATTGGGATTCATGCCGATTAATATGTGTGAACCGGTGGGTGAGGGTGAGTGCGAGCAATCTTTATGTATCGCTTTTTAATTTCAACCGCAGTAGTCTTTTCCTAAGTCTCTGCTCAACCCCAATACGTTTTACCCTGAGGTTAAGGAATAGTGGTTAGGAAAACAAATATGAGCTCATTTTTGGACAACTCCTACACAACCAATAATACTAATAATAATTAAAGCTGCAAGCAGCGTTGAGCGGGTCTTTGATGCTCCGCAGGCTGTTGTCCGCACGTCGACGTCAGACAGATGTCTCGAGGACTCGGCCGTTGGCAAACGTGGGAAGTTTCAGGCCGATCGGACAATGTCTTTGAGTTACAGCAGTAACACAAACATTGTCTTTGATGGCGAATGATCTGTCGCCATGGCAACGGCATATGATGACATCCCCTAATTGACATAGAGCTGTTGAGGGACGGACCATTAATGATAGTCTGAAGTCTGGTGCTGTTTGGACGATTTTCCATTGAATTACAACAATATCGTATTTTTCGGCGAAGGATGGAAACGGCATATGGTGAGATCTCAGATTTCACGTAGAGCTGTTCAGGCATGGACCGGTGACATAAAAGTGAAGATTGGGGGACGATGGGACCGTGTCCATTGCAGTTACAGCGACACCGTGTTTTATGGCGAATGATCCGTTTCCATGGTAACGCCATATTAAGTAACATCAGATTTGACGTAGAGCTGTTCAGGGCCGCAGTGTTAACCATCACGTGAAGTTTGGTGGCATTCTGAGAATGTCAGTTTGAGTTATGACATCATCGTGTTCCATGGCGAGGGACCGCCTAGCATCGAGCGAACGCAAACTTTGGCGCCAAATCACGGCTATGCCGTGCGAAATAAAAAAATTCCGTGATAACTTTAAATTGCCCATGTGTCGAGAAGCTACCCGACAAATTTCGAGTCGTACGGATAAAGTCCCTAGGAGAAGATAGATTTCGAAGATAAATCGTGTTTTTCCGACGCCAAATTCAAAATGGCCGACTTCCTGTACGTTATTGTATACCCCTCCAAGAGGCTTTTTTGTTCGTGTCTGCACCCTAGATATGCGTAGCGAGTTTCGTTCGTTTACGTGAAAGTTAAAGTGGGGGGAGTTAACGTTAAAAACGTAAGTGGGCGTGGCCTACGCATTTTTTTACGCAAAGTTCCGGAACCAATTAAACATCGACATTTTCACCACTTCTGAAGCCAACGTCGCTGTAGTCGCATGGGCTACCTACTGTCATGATTTAGGCCACTTTTAATGGGCTTTTGCCCCTCGTTTTCTCTGTTTTTTGTGGGTTTTGCACGGTTATCGCTCGCTTTGCGAGCGACTAAATTGATCGCGCTCACGTGACTGGGCTTGCGCGGCCTATCAGCCGTCATGATTTCCGAACCTTTTCTGTGCTTTTGCCGGTCGTTTTCCCTGTTTTGGGTGTGTTTCGCAGGTTTATCGGTCGCTGCGTATAATAATACTTCAATATAATAATACACTAATAATACATTTATTTTGGGGGGCGCCTTTCATAACACTCAAGGACAATATAGGGAACAATTAAAACAGTAGATTTAGTGAAGTATCAGCTGGGGTAAGACAAGACAAACAACAGGAAATGGACTATAGAAGGACACAAAAGGACACAGGGTACAGTTTGAACAGGTGGGTTTTGAGTTGGGTTTTGAATGTTGTTATGGAATCAGACTGTCGGATGTGTAGTGGCAGGGAGTTCCAGAGTCTGGGAGCCGAGCAGCTGAAAGCTCGAGCACCCATGGTTTTGAGGCGAGAGCTTGGGACGGTGAGAAGTCCTACGGACGAAGAGCGGAGGGTGCGGGAGGGGGTATACTCCTGAAGGAGGTCGGTGATGTAGATGGGGGCAAGGTTATGGAGAGCTTTATAAATGAGTAGAAGGTTTTTGTAGTGAATACGGTAGCGTACAGGAAGCCAGTGTAGCTGAGTGAGAATGGGGGTGATGTGGTCGGATGAGTTGGTGCGGGTGATGATCCGGGCAGCAGAGTTCTGGATTATTTGCAGTCTATTGAGGAGCTTGATGGGAAGGCCAGTCAGAAGTGCATTGCAGTAATCAATCCGGGATGTGACGAATGAGCGGACCAGGATTTCAGTGCTGGGACAGAGATGAGCGGAGTCTGGAGATGTTCCGAAGATGAAAGAAGGCGGTGCGGGTGATGTTTTTTATGTGTGGTGCGAATGAGAGGGAGCCGTCCAGAATGACACCGAGGCTTTTCACTTGGGCAGCGAATGGTATGGGAAAGCCGTCGATGATGATGTTTGGTGCTGGGGTGTTTTGTGACTTGGTGAGGGTGGATTTGGAGCCGATGAGCAGGACCTCAGTTTTGCTGCTGTTAAGCTTCAGGAGGTTCCTGCTCATCCAGCTCCTGATGTCCTCAAGGCAGGATTGGCCCAGATGAGAAGAGGGTTTTCAGATAGCATATTGTTGAAAGTTGGAAACATATAAGCACTTTAAAGGGGACCTATCATGCTAAATGCACTTTGTGATGTCTTTTACACATAACGATGTGTCCCCGGTGTGTCAGGGAACTCACGCAGCGTCAGAAAACAAAACCCTCTCTCTTTTCCTCCGTACCCTAATCTCTAGAAATGGGGAAACAACGGAGCTGATCCAGATTTGCGTCCGATATGACATAAATCATGTCATATCGGAAATGTGGACCCACAGCACTATCAGAAAGTTGCTATCAGAAACAATGCGTGACGTGTTTTGGAAGTAATATGATCTTTCTTTACATTAGCATCGCTAACACTCAGAGCTAACCTGTACTGGAGAGAGTATGTGTAAAGAAGCAGGAAATAAAAAAAGGAACTCACCGGCAAGAGAAAAAACATTTGAGCTCCATACTGTTTCAGAAACAATCCTAGATGTGGTTTGGAAAATGATGGCATTTAATCACGGCAGAATTATAAGTATCTGCCGGTAGAATTCTGAGCAGGCATTAGCTCCCCCTCCCAAAATCAGCATTTCTCTAGCAGGGCTGGAATAGAGGGATATGAGGGATGTCTAAGATGCATGATCTGTTTGGTATTTTGAGCAAAACACATCATAGAAATGTTTTTATATATTTTTATATATCTGAGACCTATAATATATGCCGAAAAATAGGATAATAAGAGACCTTTAAGGCATAAATTGTAAAATGCTAAATAAGCACTGTAACTTACAAGATCTGCATTTCTTGTTCACAATAGGTTGTTTCCGTGAATGATGCGTCGCGTTAATTGTTGTGGCCGCAAGGAATTGTGGGACAGCATTTTCTCCTGTCCATTCCTAAAGGATCATGGCTGATACTTCTTGGTCATTTCAGGAAAATTGACTTTCCAACCATCTTTTCTGTTCCAGATGAGCTGTCCTCTGAAGTCAGGACTGGAGGCTTTAGGACTACACTTGTATGCTAACTAAATAACATCACATTTATTTTCAATCAGACACTGGTGGAGCACCCCGTAATCTCTGCAGCCAAGGCCAGTATAATAATATTAATTGTTACCAATAAATGAAGGGAGGTTCCACATGTGTGTGTTCCAGGTTGCACATAGGTAAAGGCGTGCAGCTGGAGTGCCGTGGGGAGGGCGATGTGTGGATGCGCTGCATGAGCGACCACGCTGTGTTCGTACAGAGCTACTACCTGGACAGAGAGGCCGGCCGGGCCCCAGGGGACGCTGTGCACAAGATCTACCCCGGGGCCTACATCAAGGTCCGCACACACTCACACACATATCTTCTAGTAGCATGCAATTATCAGAATCACAATACTTTATTTATCCTGGGGAAATTGGGTTTTGCAAGACTTGCTCCATTTGAGAAGGAAATAAATAGAATTATAAAAATGAAAAAAATATTTATAAAAACGTAATCAAGTAAAAGTATGATGTCCAGTTAAAGATAAAATGAAATAGAATATAATTATTTTATATGGGAAGTTAAAGTAAAAATGCACACGTTGCACTACAATAAATAACATGCATATTACAATACATACAGTGGTGTACCAGTATTAATAAGATATTTATATAGCATTGAACTATAAGCATTGATCTCATAGGTTGCGAGACACAAACAAATAAGTCACATCCATTTGTTATTGGAAAATATAGCGCTATATGAGCAGTTGGAGTGTGATTAAAGAATGAAAGTTGTAATGTGCTCTGTGTCTCTCAGGTGTTTGACCTGCGGCAGTGCCACAGACAGATGCAGCAGCAGGCAGCGACTGCGCAGGCTGCAGCGGCTGCGCAGGCTGCTGCTGTGGCAGGAAACATCCCCGGGCCAGGCAGCGTCGGAGGCATCGCACCTGCAGTTAGTGAGTACAATCATAAACATGCTAAATGTACAATGAAGAGTTTAAGGCTCAAGGTAGGAACTAATATATTTAGGGCTGTCGCAAATTAATCGCACATTTTTGATCTGTTCTAAATGTACCTTAGAGGAATATTTTTCAAGTTTTTAATACTCTTAACATATGAGTGGACAAATATGCTTTATGCAAATGTTTATTATCATTTGAACAATGACAAATATTCTCATGAATATTAAACACAACAACCTCTGAACATTACAAATATTCACCTCAATGTGTGTGTGTGTGTGTGTGTGTGTGTGTGTGTGTGTGTGTGTGTGTGTGTGTGTGTGTGTGTGTGTGTGTGTGTGTGTGTGTGTGTGTGTGTGTGTGTGTGTGTGTGTGTGTGTGTGTGTGTGTGTGTGATCGTTGGAGCTATGTGCAACTCAAGGCCAGAGGTTGCGCTAGACTTTTTCGCTGCCCGTCATGTTGACGGACAGGATCGTAAAACTTCCGTCAAAATCCAGAATTACCCGTCGGCCTTTACACAACTCTGACGAGGGGGGGGGGAGGGAGAAAGCATGCTTGTGAACTGTCAACGGGGGGGAGGGACAGTTCACATGCGCCGTGTTATGCATGGCTGCTGCACCTCGCAGGAGCGTGCACAGCGTACAGCCAAAACTCACAGACATTTCAATGATTTGTACGGCACAGTTAGGTTTGGAAACGGTATGATTTCCTTTTTGGAGGGCATGCATAACACGGCATAACACCGGAGCCTCGCTGCGGGGAAACTTTGGCGCTGTTCCGAGTTTGTTCTAATCTGTCAAAATGACGGACTGCTTTCAGATTTGTCCGTCATTGTTAAAAAATAGACGGAAAATATTCAGTTAACGCAACCTCTGCTCAAGGCATATGCTCGAACGGGAGCTGCCTGGACGCTGCAATCATGTTGCGCACTATCCGTGCTGAGTGTGCTGACTTCTCGTACAACGTCCCACTGTCTGGCTACCTGCATAAAGTCAAGTGCTCGGCGCAGTTGTGGGCGAAATGTCGCTCCTCTGTTTTCATTTAAACAGCTCCTTATATCCGTTAGCGCAGCTAGCTAGCACCAGATGCTAACAACAACAATACACGTAAGGTCTCTCGCTCGCTCGGGCCACACATACACACACCCTCCCGGTCCTCCCGATGGCCAGTCGGTTCCTGCCGGTGAGCGTGGAAGTGTGGTCTGCCACAAGCGGGCGGCAGGAGCGGGGCTGTCAGCATCAGCTTGTAGATGGTATTTTAAACTCGATGCGCTCTGAAACTACGGGGCGGCCGAGGACAAAAAATACATATGCATTAATCGCGTTAAAATAATTAGTGGCGTTAATTTTTTTTGCGTTAACGCGTTAACTTGACAGCCCTAATATATATATATATATACAATTCCCCTACGGTGGACAGATAACAAGTATATGAAATGGTGACGTGTTAGTAGTTGAGCCCACTCATGCAGCTTTGAGCAGTGATGGGATACTGAAGATTGAATTGTGTTTGTACTCTTTATTTCAAGTCTGCTGTACATGTTTTAGGATTTTGGGGATTTCTATATATACTATATGCTGCTGCTACATTATAATACATTAATTTAACAGGGACAGTGCACATCGATAGACGTTGCGGTCAATGCACCAGAGTTAGTCAAGTGGCGGTTTTTCCTCTTTAGGAGAGGACAGATGTTACTTACATGCTTTATTCCAGTTTATTTATTAAGAATCTAAAATGTTTTCACGGCCCACATTCAACCATAAAAAATATGGAGGCTAAATAAAGTTCTGATTGGTCAATTCAGAACATGTGACACGTTGTTAATGCAGTAGAACAGACCACTGTCAAGGACTATAATGACCGTTGCTAAGCAGGATCAAGAAAGAGAAAGGAAAAGAGGTTCAAATAAAAAATAATCTTAGTAATGAAAATGTTTCCACACAAATCATAATGTTTTGCAAATTATTTGGCGTCAAATATTGAATTTACATTTACACCCTTTAATATTTTATTTGGGCTTTTAGATGAAGACCGCACATAGTTCATAAATACAACTATTCTTCTGGCTAAAATACATCTTTTTAAAAGTCAATCAAGGAGTAATCTTAATGTAAGGTGTTTGAAGAGTAGATTAAAAATATATTTTCTTTTGGAAAAAATATTGCCACAAAAAATCAAAGGGTGGCTCATCACACCATGAAATGGGAAATAATGATCTCTTACGAGGAGTGGGATTAAAGGAACAATAAATATGCTTGCCATGTTGTGTTTTGGTGGCTTTTGGTTGTATAACCTTTGTTTGTGAAATGTTGAAGTGACTGTATCTTTATTTCTTCTGTTTTTGTTTTGTTTTTGTCTGAGATGGGAATGTCATCTCCTATATGTTATTGTTATGTCCATGTTTGTGTCTTTTGCCTGTACACAAAATAAATAAAAATAATAATAATAAAAATAATAATTTGGCGACCCACTTGCCATGCCTTCGCGGCCCACAGGTTGGGAACCGCTGCTTTATTCACTTGTAATCTTCATCTTTTGTTTTCCTTACTAGCCTTTTCATTTCAGTATTGTAGGACTTCCATTCCAACTTACAGCAGCATCATCGGGTTTTTTTTCTCGCAAAATGTCTTGTTTTTGGCATGGTCCCAAAGAAGCTCTATGTGTTTAGTGAGTGTAAAAGCAGTGATACCACAGGCTGAGCAAAAGTCACAGCATAAGTCATGTAAGCCTCCTTCTAAAGCCCATGATGAGTAAAGACGTGATGTGTCCCCCTCCTCTCACAGGTCTGTCTGCAGCCGCAGGCATCGGGGTGGACGACCTGAGGCGTCTGTGTATCCTGCGGCTCAGCTTCGTAAAGGGTTGGGGGCCCGACTACCCCCGGCAGAGCATCAAACACACCCCCTGCTGGGTGGAGGTCCACCTGCACCGCGCTCTGCAGCTGCTGGACGAGGTGCTGCACACTATGCCATTGGCAGACCCAGGGCCTGCTAACTGAGGACCAACATGTTCAATCTGAACTGTATGAATGTGCACACGCACTCACACGCTCACACACTCTCACACACACACACACACACACACACACACACACACACACACACACACACACACACACACACACCTGTTGCCAAATATGCTATTAAATTGATACACGAAGCAAATCAATGAGAAATACAGGAAACATCGAGGACCAATAACATTATGCTTTTAACAATCAATGCACACACACTGCAACCAAACTGTCTGCGGCCACACACACACACACACACACACACACACACACACACACACACACACACACACACACACACACACACACACACACACACACATGTTTCTAGTGCTTTACTCTGCAATCTAAAGTCAAACACAAGGGAGGAAAGATTCTGACTAACCGTGTCTGTTCTGAAGACATTTGTATGCACTGCAGAAATCCAGTTTCCCCATATGCAATTGGGATTTCTTGAAATTGTAGCAGTGTTCTGCAAATTCATTCATGACAAAACACAGACATGTCAAAAGTAATGGAGTTAATTCACAGTGAATACACACAGTGTTACAGGTGTGTTTGGGTGGCAGATGGATGGATAAAGGAGCCCAGTGTTTATGTCATCTCTGTGCTCGTACTGTATGTCCATCTCAACTCAAACTGTTAGCATCGATAGCTGGTTAGCCCTCTTATTACGCTCAGCTCAAGCTATATTATTTTTGTACCAAAAGACTAAAAAGCCAAAAACATTTAGCTTTAAGTAGTGTTGTTGTTCTTTGTAATGAAACAGTGCTACCCTGTATGTAACCAAAAGCCAAAATACCTCATAACTACAGTGCAAAGTCATGATTACGTTCTCCGCCTGAAGCGCACACACTGTTCTTCACTGACTGGCTGAAGTGGGTGAGAGCAGCCCTCTGTTAGCATTCTGGCTCCAACACTCCCTTAGTTTGCGTTCCTTTAGCTTTATGATGTAGCGTGCTGTGCTGTGCAGAACTTGATGATTGGACCGATGAGCAGAACTTATACCGATGACTGAATAGCTCCGGAGACAGAAACCTGAGTGCCTCTCTGTTCTCATCTCTGAAGTGTGCTCACTCTATTTCAATCAGAGCCCTGTTTTTTATATGTGGCCCAACCAAAGCAAACTATCATGCTAATATCGGGCTCAAGTGATCCTGCTTTTAATCATGCAGCTAATAGAGTGGTGCACTGGTGACATTTGTGTAGGCTGACCCCGGAAGATAGCATCGCTAGACCTCTTGATAAAAAAGAATGGGATTTTTTATTGGATTTGGGAATTTTGCAGAAAATAATCTCTGTGGAAAACACATGTTTATGATACTTACCTGTTTTGTTCAACAGGATTATCTCCACATATTAAAACCACTTTAGCATTTTTTTGAAGTGGAAGCAATCACCAGTCAAAACCTAATGTTATAAACAAATTCAATCAACATTGCATGGCTGTGCGTTACCAAATGTGCAGCGTGATGACGTTTAGTCATCACATTTAGCCACTCGTTAGCAACCGCTGTCTTTATGACACATACAAGCAGGGGCGCTTCATGTTGTCGTTGTTGTGGACCAATTTAATCAACCTTCTTTGGGGGCCCTTTCTGGTCCGGGGCCCCAAGCAGTTGCCTGCCTTGCCTGTTGGCAAGCAGCGCCCCTGCATACAAGCTTCAGATATTTACACGTGGGGTATTTACTGACATAAAAAACATTAAAATCTCCTTAGCTTGTGGTAACCACAGACCTTATTTCAGGGTTTCAACCACAAACATGTTCAAAAAACTGTTGATTCCAAGACGAGGGAACCGGAGGTGCTAAAATGCGGACTCATTTCAGGGTTTCAGGACTCATTCCTGCACCGCTCTGTTTGGTTATTTGGAAGCAAAGGATAGATTTGTTGATCCCTAATTAAGTTATCTTTAAAAAAAACAAATGATGCGCTCTTCTTTTATAATTAAAGTCAAATAAGTACAGAGTTGAACCATACGCAGCATTTAGATGATTGGCTGTGTGCTGATCATGTGATCGTGGTTACATGAGGTTGATTAAAGTTAGTCCTTCACAATGTTTCTCTCCCGTGAATGGCTGAACGCTGTGTCACTTTAAATGTTGCGGCCGTAAGGAATTGTGGGACAGCATTATCTCCAGTCTTTCATAAAGGATGGCTCAGATAATAAAGGAAGCATTGAAGCTCTTTTCCCATCATCTAATCAAACAGCTCTTATCATGACTGACACTGAGGTACTTCCGGGTCATTTCCCTCCGTTAGGAACCTTCCTAAGAAAAAAAGAGTATTCGACCACAATCTAAGTCTCATTTTATTTTACGGGTGTCATTTTCTTCTACATGGACCCAATGAAAGGGTACAATTTAACCAGTATCAAATGGTACCATCTACTACAGGGAGTTTAGACCCAAGAGTGGGTAATGTTCTGACGGCTAGTTCTGTGGAGTGCTGAGAGGAGAGGTCATGTGATTCAGCTGCTTATCAAACATCAGCCATATGCATATTTGTGATTTGTGCCTTTTGTTCTCAGCCGTAGATGCACCAACACTGGACCCTCACACACACACACACACACACACACACACACACACACACACACACACACACACACACACACACACACACACACACACACACACACACACACACAGGTTTCTCTCGCCACACATGAAGGTTCATGTTGCACATTGTGATTTCAGATGTTTCAGTCCTTGGGTGTTATTCTGTGGTTCCCTCAGGTATCTGTGTAGTTCAATGAATATATCGCAATGTGTCCAACGTTCTTCTAGAGATAGTATTAAGAGAGCACTCATCTTACCTGAGTAGTATTATTTATTGCCTTCTGTGAGTGTAAAACATGAATGAGTATGCGTTCCACTGTTTTAATCTTAGCATGGACAACTCAAATAGATGTCATATTTATCTCTGCTCTGCTGCCCATATTCAGGGAGGTACAAGCAGGCTTTCTCAGATAATGAGCAAACCCTTCATCACCATCATCATCACACACATCACCTCCAACACATGTCCACAAGTGCTTTGCATTCAGCACCTGTAACTGTGCACATCTGTGGATGTACATGTCCAGAGAACTAAACCCAGCTTCAACTGTTTTTTGCTTCGCTTCATTTTGTGGGTTTGTTATTTTAAAAATGTCAAATGATGCTTTATTTGATACTTCTCAGAGGGAAATAGCTTGTCTGTAGACCAAGGGTGGGGAACCTCCGGCCTCCTCCAACACACAGGAACGCACACATGACCAATGAGGGCACGAGATAAGTTTGTGCACAGATGGAAGGCTGACAGGCAGGTAGGCCATCCAGTTATTTTAGCCGGGCCGGCTCAGATGATTGGTCGTGCTTTTTACAGCGCCACGGCTTCCAGAGATTATGTGTTTTATGGATTTGTTGTCAAAGCACTTCAGATATTCATTGCTATCGGGATGTTAAGAGCATTCCATGGAATATAACAACAAGTGTATCTCGAGCCGGTTTCTCAAACGTACCTACCCCACCTTTAAGAGAAAGTCAAATCAGCCAAACATTATTTAACGTACTAGTACCAATTGCAGAACAATCAGGAATATAAACATCCAACAAAATCAGCATGATTCAAAAATACATTTGAAAATGACTTTATAGATGCCAATAAGTCATCTCTCAGTTGGACACTTGATTTATCGACATATTCTTGAACAAATTGTTTAATTTATCACATTTTTGAACTCTTACAAAAATCTTAATTAAGTTGAAAGTTAAAGTTACATATTAAGATAAGTGACAACATATTTAAGTTAAACATCTTTATTTATATCCATTGTGTAATTGGTTGAGAAATGACCCAAAAATAGTGAAAGGACACGAAACTCATCAACCCATTGAGGGCTGGATTCAAAATCACACCAAAAATCGAAATGATCCAACTCATTAAGTCCAACGTACCTTGAATGTGCACTTGTGTACTAAGTGACATTCCATCGCTGCAGATGACATCATTCCCTCCAAGAAACATCTCAGAAATGTTTACTTAGTAAATATGACATCCCTGTTTTTCCAGACCCTTGGCCTCTTACTTCAAGGGTTCTCACTTTGAAACCGAAAGCTTTAATGTGCAGTCTGACGTTTGCTTCTATGGAGTCCACTGTGTCAGAGCCACGCCCCCCCATGAGTACGATGTGTGTCCTGTCTGTAGAGGAACAGGATCCTGCTGTAGACTCATGCTGCATCATGACTCTTTTTACAAGTAAAGCAGAGATGAAATGATCTGTGTACACTAAGAAGACACTTGGCATAATATAGTGTCCTTTGTGTTCACGACAATTCATTCCTACATACAGTGGCAGTGTGATACCCTACCCATGTGTTACTCGCATTTTTAAACTACAACTATCCAAACTCTTCATTTCCTCTTCCGCTACTCATGGCCTTCATCAGTGGATATAATAATAATAATAATACTACTCAGAAGTCTGTGAGCAAACCCCATCTACTGATGAAGACTGGGAGTGGTTTGAAAGCTCTAAATGATCTGGTTACTGTGCTAGAGTTTTGCTTTCAACTGAACATGTGTAAAACCTAGAAATCAAAAACACACTCAGAAAAGGTTTAGGTTAAATATTAAAGTATAGAATTCATGTAATTTTTATATCCAACAATAGCTCTGGATGAAAGTGATCTCCACCTATTCCAAAACCACTGCACTCCATCCTCATTAACGTTCAGTATCCAGATCCTGAGAGACACACACATCCCATTCATTACACATGTAACACACACCATGCTGACACACTACAAACACTATATGTACTAAATCATTTGATTTGGCTTCCTGAAATATATGGTTCTTAGATTTTGTAGTTTTATTGTAAAAATGTGCTGCTCTTGTAATGTTGACTGTATATTAAAAGAGATAAACATATTGTACTGTCATATTTATGTTAATGATGAAATACTGTTTCACTGGGAGGGGGGAGGATGAAGTACACATAATATCATTCACACAGTTTCTTATTTGACAAGAACACACTGAGGACCTCACACTGATCACTCACTATGATACTAACAGTGGTGACTGGTCATTAGGGGCAGGTGGGGCACAGCCCCACCCAGTGTCAGCAGAAAGTATTAAAATAATGATTACAACAAAATGCAAAAAATAAATTAAAATATATATAAAATCATGTTTAATCGTCTGATTCGTCTGTACATTGCTGTTTTAGTCTGTGTTCTTCTAATTAGTGTCTACAGTGTGTGCCTATTGAGCTGTTTAGAGCCATGTGGGACAAAACCCGATCCTGCCCCTCCCTCTCTCTGTCTAAGTGAACGGTGACTGTAAAAACTACACTGCGCATGCTCAGAGTATTTTCCTATTTAATGTGTGTGGCAAAAAAATAATGACCATAGGGGCATAGAGCTGCCATCCCCACCATACGTCATCTCACATCATTCAGAGCTGTATTCATTCATTGGCTGTAAGTATGTGTGCCGCGAAAAGTGTGGTGTGTGAAGAGCAGGTGAAGAGGAGGAGAGAGACGCGTCCTAAAACCAGGAAGTAAGCTGCGCATGGCTTCTTTCGACAAAAAAGCAATGAGATTTCTCCATAGGATTTTAGAAAATAGCTCAAAATAAGATCTGTGGGAAACGTAGCTGTTAGATAAATGTACGTTTTGTTCAGCCGGATAATATCCACATGTCTACCCTACTTTTATCATTTTCGAATCATAAATCCATCATTTAGATTTATGATAGACTTTTGAAACTACAAGAAGATAAGGAGGACTTTTACAAAAAAGTAATAGAGATTTTTGTCCAGAAGGATAGGCAAATGGACTTCATCTTCAAGTCAAGGTAAGACCACCATTTTATTGAAAATTGGATCTTACTAAGGCAAGGCAAGTTTATTTAAATAGCACCTTTCAGCACCAGGCAATTCAAGGTGCTTTACAAAAATGAAAGACATTCAGACAAAGGCATTTAAAAACAGTAAAAGATAATAAAAGAAACATTAAAAGAAAAAGAAAAAATGAAAGACATTAAGAAAATGGCATTTAAAATTAGTCATTAAAAAGAAAAGCTAATAAAATAAACATTAAAAGATAGAAGTTACAGTGCAGTCTAAAATATGAATAGTTCAATTATTTCGGTTCTTGATTTTTAATTTATTCACAGAACCTCTCTTTGGAAATCCGAACATTTCCGTCCCGATTGTTAATTTAGACTGATTGTTTTCACCATGTTATGCTCGCATGACATCCACAATCGGACCCTCAGGAGGGTGTACTAGCCCCCTACTCTGCTTTGCGTTCCATAACAAAGTCTTTAAGTGTTACCTGAACACCCCGTGTTACCAAAACACTATTTTTCACCCGTTGGTGCTGTGATACTTGTTCCTCAGTACAACTCACCTAAAAACTGATCGTAAACCCTGGCTACGATGGATATCCCAAATATCCTACTTTCGAGCAGTCCCTCTCATAAATGTCATGGAGAAATTAATTACGTTTAAATTTAAAACATTAAAAGAAAAAATACATGTATAAAAGTTACAGTACAGTCTAAGATATGAATAGTTCAATTAAAAGCAGCGACAAAAAGAAAAGTCTTCAGCCTGGATTTAAAAGTAGTCAGAGTTGCAGCGGACCTGCAGGTTTCTGGGAGTTTGTTCCAGATGTTTGGAGCATAATAACTGAACGCTGCTTTACCATGTTTAGTTCTGACTCTGGGGACAGAAAGCTGACCAGTCCCTGAAGACCTGAGAGATCTGGATGGTTCATAATTTAGCAGGAGGTCAGAAATGTATTTTGGGCCTAAACCATTCAGTGCTTTATAAACCAGCAGCAGTATTTTGAAATCTATTCTTTGACACACAGGAAGCCAGTGTAAAGACTTCAGAACAGGAGTGATGTGATCCACTTTCTTAGTGTTAGTGAGGACTCGAGCAGCGGCGTTCTGAATCAGCTGCAGCTTTCTAATATATATTTTTAGTGAGACCTGTAAAGACACCATTGCAGTAGTCGAGTCTACTGAAGATAAAAGCGTGGACAAGTTTTTCCAAATCCTGCTGTGACATTAGTCTTTTAATCCTAGATATGTTCTTTAGGTGATAGTAGGCTGATTTAGTAACTGTTTTAATGTGACTGTTGAAACTCAGGTCAGAGTCCATGACTACACCTAGATTTCTGGCTTTATCTGTTGTTTTGAACATTGCACACTGAAGCTCAGCGCTAACTTTTATACGTTCTGACTTGGCTCCAAAAACCATTACCTCAGTTTTATCTTTGTTTAATTGGAGAAAGTTCTGACACATCCAGTCATTGATTTGTTCAATGCACTTACTCAGTGTTTGAATTGGAGCATAGTCTCCTGGTGAAATTGTTACGTAAATTTGTGTGTCATCCGCATAGCTATGGTAACTTATTTTGTTGTTCTTCATTATCTGAGCCAGTGGTAGCATGTAGATGTTAAAGAGAAGAGGCCCCAAGATGGAGCCTTGAGGAACCCCACATGTCATATTTGTCAACTCAGATGTGTATTTACCTATAGAAACAAAGTTGTTTCTGTCCTTTAAGTAGGATTCAAACCAATTTAGAACTGTTTCCGAAAGTCCCACCCAGTTTTCCAGTCGGTCTAGTAATATGCTGTGGTCAACAGTGTCAAACGCAGCACTGAGATCTAATAATACTAACACTGAAGTTCTGCCACTGTCTGTGTTTAAGTGGATGTCATTAAAGACCTTTACAAGAGCAGTCTCAGTGCTGTGGTTTGGATGAAAGCCTGACTGGAACACATCAAAACAGTTATTTAAATGCAAGAAGTTACTCAACTGTTGAAAAACAACTTTTTCAATGATTTTACCTAGAAATGGGAGGTTTGATATGGGCCTGTAATTGTTCATTACTGAAGCATCTTGATTATTCTTTTTTAAGAGCGGTTTAATGACTGCAGTTTTCAGGGCCTGTGGAAAAATACCTGAGTGAAGAGATTTGTTTACTATATGAAGTAGATCTGAGGCCATGCAAGGCAAAACATCTTTGAAAAATCCTGTTGGAATAATATCAAGGCAGCAAGAGGAGGATTTCAGAAGTTGTATAATGTCCTCTAGGTTTTTATCATTAATCTGATGGAATTGTGTACTAAGAGAGAACAATTCAATATTTAAATGATACAATTACATTTTTTGGGTATCCTTCTGTTGAACTGTCTGTTTAAAATTAATTGAAGCATCAGACTAAAAAAGCTTTTGAAAATAATATTATATTTTGATTTAGGTCAAAATATAATATTTGTAAACCTGAAGAGTCAGTGCCAGTGCCTCACCAGCCATGAACCTCACTGCAGAAGCTTATATATAGACATCTAAGTTTTTTGTGCCCCACCACTTTTGTACATATAGAAACGCCACTGGATACTAATATGTGTTAGAACTATTAGATATACATGGAAGCAGATACAGGAAGCTGCAGGTGTCTTACTGTTATCATGAGTTATCATCACACACCCAAAACATGCAGTGGATCTTATGCAATATCATAATATATTGACAATAATTGTACTATACAATCCAACCTCCAGTGTATCTGATTGAAAGCATCACAACTTGGGTCAAATGACATGATGTGTCCTATAAAGTCAGAGAAAGGACCATGTGTGATGTCAGTATGGAAGTGGTTTGCTATCTATGTGTATGGGAGACTGTCGTGACATACAGCAGAAGTTGAACAACACTCAGAATGGCTCATAAAACTTTCAAGTCTGTAGGGACTTTGTTTGGAACAAGATTCAAAGACGTTATCATCATACGCACAGCTACAGTGTAGATATGGCAGACATCAAGTCTCCTCCAACAATGGGACATCAATATATCAATCATAAAACACTGAAACTATTTTGAAAACAATTAAAATAGTGCAAGAAGAAACAAAGTTATATAAAATAGTGAAACATCATGTTGCAAAACCAATGAATGAACTATATACAGTATGTACAAAATAAATAAATACAATACGCTAAATGTGACCTGGGGGGTATACTACGAAGCAGGATTTTCGCTTAGCCGGCTAAATTCAGGGAAAACTCCGGCTTTCCGGTCCTACGAAGCTGGTTCTCTTTTTAGCAAGCTAGATCTCCATGGTAACTTATGCTTAGCGGCTAACCTGGTCGGGACCAGGTTAGGTTGCAGGCTAAGAGCTCAACTCAGTGAAAGCACCGCCTGCTGACCAATCAGAGCTCAGTGTGCGGAGTTTAAAGCGATCAAGTCATATTACAGGAGAAAGGAAATACAGAAAAGCTGCCGTCGCAGGAAAGACGGCCGGCAAAAATCACCGTCTGTGTGAACGTGAACATTAATAGAATATCACCTCCCATCTTCAGAGCAATCTGACTATTATAACATTAGCGTTAAGAAAGGTTACTTAAAAATCTGCCACAACATAAGTAACCGGATCAGAGTAACATTAAGTACAGTCCGCGGCATATCACTTCATAATGTATCATATATCTCCTTATCTGAGTCAGCTGAGCCGTATCTAGCCGTGCAACACTTACAGTGTCACATACTGTATGCAGAAGTATTATTTTAAGCAACACATTAAGTTGAGGAAACACTCGAGGCAAATGTAATTAAAGTCAGATCGTGTTTTAGACGGGCAGTGATATCATAAACCTGTTAATGTACGCATTCAAACACTTGTTCTGTTCCCAGCTGTATTCACCTTGCAGGTGCAGCTCTGTGGCTTTTATCCTGGATAAAGTGTTTAAGTCATGGATGTTTAAAGTTTAACTTCTTCATATGTCTAATATTATAGTTGACTTTTCATTCAGGAAGTATGACGCTGCGCTGTCAGTACGCTTCTCCATGTCTGTGATTGGTCGAATGCTCCAGATACCACCCCTTTCATGTGAACGCGCACCTAACTAGATA